TGACATGGTAAGACCCTGTGAAAAATTCTCTCTTGGGCCAGCAAGTGGTATGGTGTTTAAGGTGGCTAGATCCCACAAAGCTGACTGCATGATTTGAGTCCAGCTTCAACAATATACCAGGACCATGCGTATGCATGCCTAAAATCACAAACCGAGAATGAAGGAGAAGGGATTGTGGCATGGCCATACCTACAGGAAGTGATTTCTCTCTCTCTCTCTCTTTTTCTCTCTCTCTCTCTCTTTCTCTCACACACACTGTCTCTCTCTCTCTCTCTCTGTATATCTATTTGTTGAGCACACATGCCCTATGGCAAAACTAAAAAATAAAATAAAAATGTAATTATCTCTCAAGGCCAGCTCTGTGGCCTGGTTAAGACAACTGGATCGCACATGGCCAGCCTCACAGTTTGAATCCAGACCTGTTGGCTTGAGAAACATGTTGGACATGTGTGCTTGTATGCCCAGAATTTTTTTTTTAAGAATTGTTTTAACTTTATTTGTTTATTTTTATTTGGCCAGAGAGGGATTACTTTCTCCTCTCCTTTTCTCTGTCTCTCTGTCTCTTTTTGGTGAGCATGTGTGCATGTTAGCAAAAATAATAACTCACTCTCTCTTTCGCTCACCCATTCTGTCTTTCCTTCCTGTTCACCGTTTCCTAAAAACAAACAAGCAAAAAATAGATACAATGAGAATCTTTTTTTAATAAAATAACTACAAGCATACTATAGTCAACATAAAGGAGAAAAAAATATTAATACACAATCGTTGCTGTCTAAGATTATACAGAATACTAGAACTAACTTTTCGTGTTATAGGCAAGAGCATTTATCATTATGCCATAAAAGCCAGCCTACATACCTGGCACTTTGTAAAATTCTAACTCCTATCATACCTTTCTTTCAGGCTCAGGTGTTATAAACTAGAGTAAAGTAAATCCAATTCCCAAACCTTGCTCTTCACTGTGCTTTTTCATATTCTAAGGCAAACTAAAGACCTTACTCGAGGATAGATTCCATCTTGTGTCCATAAGGTCACAACAAATTTAATAGTAACAATCAGATGTTATTTCTACTAACACGCAATATATCAATTGTTTCTACCTTTGAGTTAAACAAAAGCTCTCTGGAATGTTCAGTAAGTTCTAAGAGTGCAAAGGGATCCAGAGAACAATACCTAAAAACCTAAAAACCACTGCCTTAAGACAAAATTGCAATCTCTCTTTTGTTTTTTCATTTCTTTTTTTTTTTTTTTTGTGGTGGGGGGGAGGTTTTTGCTATAGGGCGTGTGCACTTGCTGGAAAGACAGAGAAAGAGAAACAGAAAGTAAGAAATCACCCCCAGGGGGGATGGCCATGCTGCAGTCCCTTCTCCTTCCTTCATTCTCTCAACATCTTGGGCACTCACGCACATGTGCCTGGCGTGAGTTTAAGCCACCGGGTCCGGGCGGAGTCCAGTGACATAGCCATTACACTAACTGCTGTCCCTTGCTTTTTCGTTTCTAAATATAGGCACATGCACAGTTGTATTCCTTTGCCATTATTACTCTTAGTCTTAACCACCCATATTAATTATACTTGCACACCAAAATTACTAAGTTCCGTTTCACAGAAAACTGGAGATAACTGAGAAACATCTGTCTTACTTGGGCATTTTAACAAATTAGCAAGACTTACATTATGCTGTAGCTTCCTTCCTTACTGTCTCTTGTATACCCTAGAGGAGATAGGCACTTGCCAGAGACAGGAGACAGAAAAGGAGAAGGGATTGGAACACTGGGACAAGGTCATGTCACAGAAGAGAAGGCCTCACAATCCCTTCTTTTTTGTTTCTTCATTCTGCTATGATTTTGGAAACACACACACATACACATGCCTGGCATGTTTCTCAAGCTGCCAGGGCTAGGATTCAAACATGGTTGTCCCTGTAGAATCTTGTTCCCTTGAGCACTAAACCACAAGGCTGGCCACCTTGCAGCTTTAATTACTGTAGTTTCGTAGTAAGTCTTGAAATTGGGAATTCTGATCTTCTAACTTTGTTGTTCTTTATCAAGATTGTTTGGTCTATTCAGGATCCCTTGGAATTTCATATAAATTTCAGGATAGATTTTTCTATTTCTGCAAACTATAAATAAAAGCCATTGGGATTTTGATAAGGATTGCTTTGAATCATCTTAATCAGATCATTTTAATATCATCTTAACAATATTCATAATAATTCTCCCAGTGCATGAACATGAGACATCTTTCCATTTGTTTAAGTGTTTATTTCTTTCATCAATATTCTAAAATTTTCTGTACACACATCTCACACCTCCTTGGTTAAATTTATCTACAGTAATTGTTCTTTTTTGATGTTACTGTAAGTTAAATTATCTTAATTTCCTTTTCTGTAGTTCATTACTAATCTGTTAAATAGTTGTTTTATTCCTGATTGAGAGTGTATACATGAATGAGAGACAGACAGAGAAACAGAGGCAGAGGAAGAGGTGCCTTTACAGGGTCTCATTATGCTGTAGTCCCGTTCACCCAGCCCTCACTTTATCAGGTACCTGAGCACATGCACACTCAATGTGGTTTCAGGTTGACTTGGGATCTGAACCCACAATTGGCCGTGTGGCTTCAATTACAGTATGCTATTCCTATGCCACCAATGGTGGGACATTACTGATTTATGGAAGTAAAACTGACTCTGTGTGTGTGTGTGTGTGTGTGTGTGTGTGTGTGTGTGTTGATTTTATATCCCTCATCTTTGTTGAGTTTTTTAGTAGTTCCAACAAGTTTTTTTCTGTATTTTTTTCTCTTAGGTTTTCTGCATATAGTCATTTCATCTGTAAATGGAGATTTACAACATTTTTTTTTCTAATTTTAGTGTCATTTATTTCTTTTTCTTGCATAATTTTTTGGCTACAACAGTAGTTTAGTTTGAAGCATGTTAAATTTCAGGTTCTTATTAGACCTCCAAGTGGAGATGTCAAGTTGTCAGTAGAATATTTGAGTCTGGAGAATTAGGGAATAGGTCTGTCTGTGCTAGAGAATTGTTGGCATGTAGTTATTATTTAAAGCTTAAGAATGTGTGGTAAGTTATATATGGAGAAAGAATGAAAGCCCTCTAAGGCCAGCAGGTGGTGTGGTTGTTAAGGCACTGGATCCCACATGACTGCCTTAGCAGTTCAAGTCCTAGACCTGGTGTCATAAAAAACCTGCCCACACGTGTACACGCCTGCCTAAAATCACAAGAGGAGAATGGAGACAAGATCATGTGGTTATCTCACTTTTTCTCTTTCTCTGCCTCTCTGTCTCTCTCTGGCAAGTGCACATGTCCCTATGGCAAAAACCTGAAAGAAAAAGAAAGAAAGAAAGAAAGAAAGAAAGAAAGAAAGAAAGAAAGAAAGAAAGAAAGAAAGAAAGAAAGAAAGGGAGAGAGAAGGAAAGAGACAAGGAAAGGGAAAGGGAAGAGAGAAGGAAAGGAAAGAAGAGAAAGAGAATAGAAGCCATCTGGGGGGGCAGTCATGGAGAAGAAGTCTAGCATGTACAATAGAAGTCAAGTAGTAGCCAAGGCAAT